GTGCGTCGCTGCTGCCGCGGCTAGGCTTAGCAGCAGACGGACCTCTCGCCGGCGCTCACTGTTTGCGTTTGGGGTGCCTTCCCTCGTACTGGTGCCGCGTAACGAACTTCGGTGAACGAAAGTAGCATTTCTCGCCGGCATCCATGGCGAGGAAATAATAACTACGGCGGTTGTGTTCGTCGATGTCTCGGCGAATGCAGGAAAACGAAGAAAGCGCTCGCATCCGGCTGTGCGGCGAAATGCTAGCAACCAATGGCAGGGCTCCGATCATACCACGCGACTTCAAAGGCCCAGTCGCCACACTAGAATGCTGTGGGAAAACGATTTTTTTGTTGTATTTTGCCGCTTTGCCAAAGCGGGCTCTGGGAGAAGAGGGTTAGGCCTACATGCCCGCGAAATTTCAAGAGCCGGCGATGCCGTAGAGCGAAGTGCCGCGTGCGTGAGAATCGGGTAACTAACTTCGCACTTTCACGAGCCACCGCGAGTTCTTTAATTGTATTTTTCGATAACTTCTAGCTGATTCTCAGCTTTGATTTTTTAATATATTAAGGAGAAGGCTTGGAGAAATACAAAACGCAAGAAAACACAAATTTGACTTTTTCGGAAAAAATCTCGGTTTTTCGACCTGCATCTCCCCTTAATTACAATTGATGTATTGATTTGGCGGACGATATCATCATTCAAAAGTTAGTTAAATAAATACGCGTGTGTTTGGTTTGTACCGACTGCGTCTGCTGTGTCGGTTCACTCCAAGAGCATGGCGCTCGCTCGCCAAGTTCGAGACTCCACATTGGCACCCAACGTGAGGCTCTTGGAGCATCGGACGACAGTTTTCGCAGTTCGATGTAAGCTTTCGTTAGAGCCGTGGTAGAGTAGGCCTAGCGGGGACTTCTTTGCTAGCGTCGGCGGCATGCTTTGTTGAGAAGCGAGGAGATTGGATTTGTGATGTGTTATAGCTTGTCGGCAAGCGAGTTATTTTTTTTTTCTTTCTGCTCGCAAGTGGTTTTTTGTTGTTAGTCTTCAAAAATGTTGAATTAGGACGAGAGCCATCTGGTCTGCATCTTGTGGTGAGCAAGGCCTAGAGCACGTGGTTTGTATAGGCCAGGCCCTGAGCGGGTGAGTACAGAAGCCTCGTGGGTGGTCCGATTTTCTGTAAAATAGCTTCTACCGTATATACAGTCGAGCTTATAACGAACCTGAGCGTGACGCGGCATCCGTTCGCTGTATCCCGAAGTTCGTAGTAAATGAAACATAGCTTTTTTAAAAAGTTCCGCATAAAAACACAAACTTTTTTTGCCCCCAAAAGTCCGTGATACACGTGTTTCGACTAGTAAAAGCGATAAGGGCGGTCTCGAGTTCATTTATAACGGCAGGGCGTTCGTTCACCGAGGTCCGTGGCATAAGCTGCATGAGGCACCGACTCCAAAGTTTCGTCGTTCTCGCAATCCGATTCCTCCAAATCGCTCTCACCACGTACTTCATTCCCAATGTCCTAATCCGTGCACGGTTCCGCAGTGCCGGCATCATCATCTGCCGTAATTAAACCATCGCAACAGATGTCCCATTCGCTCTCCCAGGTCGGAGTCGACGCCGCGCTGCCACAAATCGCCGCCGCAGCAGTCCTGTTCGGCGTGTTATTGTGTTTGTAATGTTATTGTGTGTTTGTTGTGTTGTGTTGGTCATGGAATGTATGGTAATATTGTGTACAATGTCCTAGCGTGGTGATAACGATTGATGTATAGATTCGGCAGGCAATGTCATTGTAAATTAGTTAAATAAATGTATGTTGTTCTTTGGTTTGTACCGACTGCGTCTGCTGTGTCCTCTCGCTTGAAGAGCGTGGCGTGGTGCTCGCACGCCAATACGAGACCCCACATTATTGTGTAATTATGCCCAAGGTTGTTTAGCGTGTGAATCACAGTTGATATTATAATGCGGCTGACGATATTATCGATCAAAAGTAGTTAAATAAACACGTGTTTGGTTTGTTCCAACCGCGTCTGCTGTGCTCGTTCACTCCAAGAGCGTGGTGGCGATTACCACCTTCAGAGCCCACAGCGTACGAGGATTGCCCCAACTCTTGCGATGGCCACTGGTCCTGGTCACAAGAGTCTGGGAGGACCTTTTCCCGAGCAGCGTGTCAAACCTCGCCATTGAAAGCTGCAACGCGCTCGCAGTCTCCCTTCTATCGTGAACGTCCGCGTGTAGGAGCCTTTGTTCCCCTTGTGCCGTGAGTGGACGTTGTACTGTTGTTCGGGGTGCCGACAAGGCAATGAAGTGTGTGTTACTTTTAAGATGGAACACTGTTTTGCTGCACCACGCTAAAAGCTTTGTTAGTTGAGTGCGCACGGAGCGGTGTGCTACATGTGAGCAGGTGACGGAGTCGCAACCCCCGAGATTTGCTAAGCCTAAACCCGCAGTGATCTTCCGTTGAGTAGCAGGGTCACCACAATATCCGCAGTGCTGTTTCATTGGTCTTATGAAAATGCTGCATGCCCACGTCAGAAGAATGGAAGAACAAAAATTGTTTCAAGGTTCTGAAGAAAGTAAAACTGCATTTACAAGAAGGACTACACATTATTGTTTTGGCCGCTTCCCTAAACCACCCGTGCCTCGAAGCCAACCGGGTCATCAGGCACCTTCCACAAGACTCTTCAGAGGTGAACATTGATTTGAGGTGCTCACCGAATGACGCCAGCACACGCACACACGCGTGCGGTACCCGCATTATGGCATCGTTACCCGGATCACACGTAGCTTCTTGACCCTACACACCAGTGCTTAAGTATTAAGTGCATCAATTAAATTATTCTACCCACACAAATGAAAGCAGCAGTGGCCAACAACGTATACTAAAGCAAGCTTGCATAAGGTGTAGTATTGGTCGAGTTTTGAGTCTGGCACAATGTTGCCAGGCAACGGAAGGTGCTGGAGTAGCACCTGCTAAATGCAGCTTTGGAAAATGCTTGCATCAGGAGTCGTTCGGTGGCAGGTAGTCTATTACACTTAAATATGGACTACTAAAACGTGACTGTACTTCAAACTAAGCATCTCCTCCACACTAAATAAGCACCACAAGGTTTCAAGAATAGCATGTAAAATGTTCATGCCAAATTTACATTTGCCTTTAACGCTCCTTGAAATGCAGACAATTGTACTCCCACACTATACCATGCAGAACAATGTTTTCCTATACTACACACCACAAATGTTATGATTTGCGTCCATAGACACGCTTTAACCACAATATGGACACCGCTATAGTGGTCAGGAATTAAATTCATCATCATCAGCCTGACTGCATCCACCGCAGGACAAAGGCCTCTCCCATGTTCCGCCAGTTAACCCGGTCCTGTGCTTGCTGCTGCCAATTTATACCCGCAAACTTCTTAATCTCATCTGCCCACCTAACCTTCTGTCTCCCCCTAACCCGCTTGCCTTCTCTGGGAATCCAGTTACCTTTAATGACCAGCGGTTATCGTCTACGCGCTACATGCCCGGCCCATGTACATTTCTTCTTTTCGATTTCAGCTATGATATCCTTAACCCCCGTTTGTTCCCTAATCTACTCTGCTCTCTTCTTGTTTCTTAAGGTTACACCTACCATTTTTCTTTTAATTGCTCGCTGCGTCGTCCTTAATTTAAGCTGAACCCTCTTTGTAAGTCTCCAGGTTTCTGCTCCGTAGCCGAGTACCGGCAAGATACAGCTGTTATATACCTTTCTCTTGAGTGATAGTGGCAATTTACCTGTCATAATTTGAGAGTGCTTGCCAAATAAATGTGCTCCACCCCATTCTTATTCTTCTAGTTACATCAATGTCGTGGTTCGGCTCCGCGGTTACATGCCCTAAGTAGACATAGTCTTTTATACTTCAAGTGCGCTATTACCTATCTCGAAGCGCTACTCTTTTCCGAAGTTGTCGTACATTACTTTTGTTTTCTGCAGATTCATTCTAAGACCCACCTTTCTGCTCTCCTTGTCTAACTCCGTAATCATGAGTTGCAATTCGTCCCCTGAGTTACTCAGCAATGCAATGTCAATGGAATTAAATTAGCATCCTCCAGCTAAGAGCAGGGCAGAAATGGCAAATGCATCTTACTTACGGACTTTAACTACGCATCTCTCTTGGGCATTAAACTAGATTGTAACCTAAGGTTTCCTGGTCCTATTGCTTTCATTAAACATAAATGTACATCCAACATGAGAGCTCTACTTGGATCAAAATCACATTTCTCTAAAGGTACATTATCATATTTTGCCTTCGTCCACAGTCGCATCATCTACAGCATTGCTTCCTGGGGTAATACGTATCAGTGCCATTCATCATCTATTCAGCCCTTACAAAACCAAGCAATTCGCATTATTACTAATAGCAACTTCTTTACCAATAGGTGTCCAATACATCATGACCACAACAGATTACATATTAGGCTTGTTCAGCTATTATCTCACTAATGATTTTAAGGACTGCACAATAAACAGCTCTCATATGAGTTTACTTCAGTTATCTTACTAATAAAAATAAAACACGGATTGCACACAGCCCTAACTTTCTTTTGCCAGCTGTATATAACAACTATGGCAAAATGACCTCGACATTAACCGCCATAAAACTACAATTTACCCCCAATCATCAAAACTTAATCTCTTCATGAATTCTAAAACAGCATTTCACTTTTTTACTAGCGCATGTAAATTTACCCAATTTAGTATATCGCTACTTACATGGGTTACTTCTGACGCTCACAGTGCACGACTTGTGTTAGAAATTTGTGTTTTGCGATTTTTTTTGTTATTGCTGTTTACCTGCTCACTATTTCTCTTTTTTTAGAGTTCTGGTTAACTATCAATAACCGAGGGTCCCACAGCAGTCTTAAGCCTATGGGACGGACGTGTATATTTTTCTATACCCACATTCTATTGTGTAAGAATAGTTAAAATAACTGACTTTGAAGTACTCCACGTGGATTATGTTGCATATTGCTGTAATATAACTTACCATTTCGTTACGGCTACTGCTGTCCTGGGTACCTCCCATGCTGAAAATAAGAAAAGGCAAGTCTCAGTGACAATCTATGAAAAGCACACACCCCAATCTGGTTACCCCAATCTTTGACCAGCACTCTAAGCCACTATTCAGCAATAAGAGTAAATAAAACTTATATGCAACCACGTTTGAACTGGGCCTCTGACTGGAGCACATGCAGCAATGGAGAAAGCCATACCAAGCTCTCCCTAAGTGCCTCTTGGGATGAGTGCACCTTCCTTACAGGGAAATCGGGAGACGTGCCGCACAACCTATAGAAAGAAAACAAGGCATCAGGATGATCTCCCTTCAGGATTGCCACAACGACCTGCATGTTACTGGGAGATCTGAGGCCTGGAACTCCCAGCAGACCAGAACAAATGGTGAGCCCTTTTTAACAAGAACGCTCATTTGGACCACAGCTCAAAGATAACATGCCAGTGTGTTGGCATCTGCACAAAGCCTGCATAGCCATGCTTTAGCCTTCTGAATAGAATGAAATGCGTGAACAATCGTGTCAGCACTTTAACAAGAATGTTCGTTTGGACCACAGCTCCAAATTTAACATACCAATGTGTTGCCCTCTGCACAAAGCCTGCATAGCCATGCTTTAGCCTCCTGAATAAAATGAAATGCGTGAACAATCGTGTCAGCACTTTAACAAGAATGTTCGTTTGGACCACAACTCCAAATTTAACATACCAATGTGTTGCCCTCTGCACAAAGCCTGCATAGCCATGCTTTAGCCTTGTGAATAGAATTAAATGTGTAAACAATCACAAGCGTCAACAGAGAGAAACCAGAGATCAGCCCTGTCCTCCTCTAAATGGGCACCACTAAATGTGACCTATCAGAAAAGAAAGATTATACTCCCCATGGTGCAATAAACAAGTTCTGCAAATGATTCTACTAGCTCCTTCCAGTAAGAGCAAATAAGCGAGAAAAAGGTTCGATCATGCATGCATCTCATCAGCCTCTACATGTACTGGGGGCTTGAAAATAAGTTGCCATCACTGATGCTCTAAAGTCCCCTTGTTGAAAAGTTCACTGACCCAAAATTTCACCGCCGAGATAGCCTGTAGGATCAATTCCCATGAACATGCACATACATCTGCAAAATATCAAGAGCAATAATTGCTTGGAAGGTATTCTACAGCAATTTCAGTTTTAATTTTGAAGGTATCGACACCATCTAAAGGGACCCCTTGAAGCCCCCCTTATTTCCCTCATGTGACCACGCTAGTCAAAGAACAAGTTATGATGACGTCATAGCCACCATTTTTCTTTTGGCGCATTAGTTCCCACAGTCTATGTTTCTTGGCGGCTGGTCGCAAGTGCGTGACCGCGGCACAAGCGTTGAAAGTTTTGTGTTTGGCAACACTGGAGTCCCGTTTACTATTCGAAAGGCATTCTTGATGCGGGCCGAGTGGAAATGCCTCACAGTTCTGTGTGCCGGCGTGGTCAAGAGGAGCACATGCTTGGAGCTCTCTCAAACCGAAACTAGTCGATAATGAGGGGTCTGTTAATTATTTGTTGCGTTATGTAACGAACAATGCTGTGTTATAAGCAACAGGCCCCCAGCAACACGTTGCAGAAGAAAAAAAATGCAAGGCCAAAGTTTTTGCGTCAGTACACCTTTAACATGCGATCAATGGATTGCAGCAGGTAGATTTTTTTCTGAAAAAACTGACCTCCCCTAGAGCCTTGCCCACAGTGAAAGGCGAATGAAACAAGGTTGCATGTGGTTGAGTAATCAACACATACCAGACACCTGGAAATTTAGAACATTCATAAAGCAGGGGAGGCCTCCACGGTACTAATATGATACAACCGGTCACTCACATAGCACAAGAAAACTTTTGGCGATGGCATGATGAGCCTGGCCTTAGATGTATACAGCATAGCTTAAGGGGGCAGACTGGTGTTTGAGACCAAAAAGTGACAAAAAAAATCATTTTTTAAAAATTGACATATTTGGTTTCTACAACTAATTTTCTATCTCTCGGCAAATTTTGACACACCAGGAAGTGGCAATTTTTTGTAATGTCATTCTGACTGTCCAGATTTGTGGTGCCATTAACATGGAGAACTTGCGGAAAAAATGGAGAACAGACTTCGAGACTTCTTTACAATTTGCCGGCACCTGTTTACAATTTGCCGGCACCTGTGTCAGAAGCTCTGCTACAAATTTATGAGCACCTTTATGAGGATTGAAAAAGATGCACACCATAATTGTTGCTTTTTGAAAAAGCTGTGTGTTTTCAGTTTTTTCTATTTTCCTCAAAAAAGTAAATTTATGACTTCAATTTTGAGGCCTTATATCTCTGTAGTTAGGGCAGGTACAACAATAATTCTTTTTGCAATGGAAGGCTGTATGTGTGTAGAATACAAGTATGGATACAGACTTTAGAACACAAGCCTTTTCAATTAATTACTCATCAAAATTGTAATGCAATTCCAACTGCCTTTGCAAATGGATAGTTCATTTTGCTGTAAAGTAACCAAGAAAGGCCTAAAAACAAACAACACTTGCATACTTTCACTCTATAGTCATTAGTTTATGTTGGCATATCTTAAATATCACTCTTAATTAAGCACTTTTTTCTATGGTGGCTTTAAACAATACGGGGTGAACATAAGTTATCTAAGGAGCAAGATGAATTACAAGAAAACTAAGTAAATATTTTAATCGGCAGAAAAACCTGCATAATCCTGTGCAGTTTAATCAAGATTACTGAAGAAATAAACAAAAAAATGTCTAAGACCAGTCTGCCCCCTTAAACCGGCAATGCCCACTGTATATTTGGTATATTGAGTATATTACCTCAATAAAGCTACTATTAGTGTCATGACAAGCATTTATTGCAGATTTGACATGTTATGAACAAGGTATAACGACTTCTATATTAGACAATAATTATTTAGAATTGTTACTAATAAGTTTTGCCTCATACAATTTTTTTTTTCATTTTTTTTTTTTTTTTCAAAATGAACTGCACAAGAAGAGTAAAAACAGTCAGCGTTTTCTGACAATTTTCCTGAAGGCACAACTGTTTGTAGGCATTACAGGGTTAACTAGCTGCTATGACTGGAATCAATGCCAAGTTCTTGCTTAACTTTTGTTTGAACAAAATTGGTATTTGACATCGGTACACTGAAAGGGGCCTTACTGGCAGAAACGTACAACACCTTGGTGCACATGGCCAGTTCTGTCAGTGAACTTATTAACAAGTGTGAACCGGGTTTCAAGTGCACCCTGCTGTCTCAGAGTGGCCTTTCACCCTTGACGGTGTGAACAGGCACGTGTACACCACCCTTTAAAATGAACCGGTTTGAATAACAGTAATGTGTGTAGTTCAGCAATGCAGGGTTCGCTGCACCTGGGAACACAGGACGCACTTCAGCACAGACTAAGCATATTCCTTCCCATCCCTTTTTATTGGGGCATTGCTTGAGCTAATAATCTACGGTGCCCTACAGCTGTGGCTTACACAGTACAGATTCCAGTTCAGTGTGTGTGTATGTGTTGATTTGATTGATATGTGGGGCTTAAAGTCCCAAAACCACAATATGATCATGAGAGACGCCGTAGTGAAGGGCTCCCGAAATTTCAACCGCCTGGGGTTCTTTAACGTGCACCCAAATCTGCGCACACGGGCCTACAACATTTCGGCCTTCATCGGAAATGCAGCCACCACAGCCGGGATTCGATCCCGTGACCTGCGGGTCAGCAGCCGAGTACCTTAGTCACTAGACCACTACGGTGGGACAAAAGAACAGTCCTGCGTGATGATCACTTACGCTCAATGGCAACTTCTGTTTGACAGAAAATCCTAGGCACTCTGCACGGATCGCATTGTCTCCGCAGCTGTTTTGGAAAAAAACTCCCATGTTTGCCCTGCCCTTCCGCAGCACAAACGTAATTGTCATGCTTCTGTGAAGCAGTGTGCACCTCTATCTCGGCCTCGCAGCCATGCAAAACGCTCACATTATAGCCGCACATGGTACGGAATCCGCAACTGTCCCCTTTGCGTGAAGTCACAAAGCACAGAAACTCTGCAGTGTACGAATCCACAAACACTTGCAAGTGCTTCTTAGCTTTGTCAGGGCAAGCCGCATAGCCTTGACATGCGAAATGTGGTGGCTATGTGGGGGATAGACCGACGCACAAGTCGCGGTACCTTTTCCCTAGGCTTCCTTCAGTACGGTTGGGAGCACGTCTCGCGGCTGCCAGCCTTCTGCTCAGATGCGCGGTACTGTAGTGCCTAGTATACATTTAGCGGTACTCTATGCTATAGTGAACTAGAACTAACTAGAAATGTAGTGGAGAGTCCTCTTCCGTAGAACCGTAACTGTCACAGCAAAAAAGGCTGATGTATCTGGTGATTATTCGAAGAAAAATTAAGCGTCCCAGCTGTGGCGGCCACTCTTCGAGAAATTCGAGATGCCTTTGTACAATCGAGAGATTAGGTCAAAATTTGGGAGTCTCCCGGACAATTCCAGAGAATTGGAATGTATGTAATAGTATACCACATATGCTGGCCCATAGATCAAAGCACGCTTGCATGCCGTTCACGACCAGCGAGCATGACACCCTTGAAACAATTGTCACGATCTCTATTTAAGGCATTCTACCACCATCGACGACCGAATAGTCTAGTCCTTAAGAGGCTCACACACACAAACATAAAAGAGGAAAAATAGCGAGTTTGACTGAAATTGTTTCGCTAAGTGCACAGAAAGCAGGCACGACACTACTAACGACTGCCACGAAACAAGGAAAGAAGAAACTCGAAAGCTGCCTCCATGTGTGCTTGCGAACGTGTCCATAACTTTTGAGGCATGTGCACGACGCAGTTAGCAGGTAACAGTTTGCCGCACTGTTTATGCAAGGAAGCCTCACGGCAAACTGAACAAAAGCGATAAACAGTTGCTTCAAATGGTTGCCTCCACTTCTAATCATCCCATCTTGCACGGCGGCACACGATTTGGAAGATTACACCCCACGTAATGACAAGCGAAGGCGCAGTCCTCAAGCACCTGCATTGCAATCCGTCAAATCATCACAGGAATGGCAGCGGCGGCGAGCGTGTATCGTATCTTTTCAGCATCTGCTAGCCTAAAACCTGCTGAAAACCATCCTGAGAGCTTCGACTAATTGTTCTGGACACTTCTTGCAACCATGGAGCTCTGCGCGCGTCACCAGAATGGCCCCAACCCGCAAAAAAGGAATGCCACTTGGGGGACAGTGGCAACCACAAAAAAACGAGCACACTAAGTTGGCTCTGGCGGCCTGCGGGTAGCCAGAAACGGAAAATCGATGAGCCCCAATGCTTTACACAGGTCTATAACACACAGAACTTTGCAGCATGTGGCACATAACCGCACACCACGGCCCATGGTAGGTGAGTATGGACTGCAGGTGAGTGTATTTGGGGAATATGCAAACCACGAACCTTCAAACTGCAGCCTACAGCTTCACAAGGAATAAATTTTTGTGACTATTATTAATGATATTCTCTTAATTTTTTCACTGACAGCGAATAACAGCAATGTTTTGGGGGAGCTAAAAGTCTGGATTGGTCTCGAGCATTTTTTGCTGAGGCACCCAAAGTGATGACTACAGGTTGAAACATTACCGTAGAAGAAATAGTCAATCTGTAGTTTGGTACAGGTACCTTTTGCAAAACCTACATAAAATCCCTTGCAGGTATCCCCTTTATACAAGATATGGGGAAGGCACTCCTTTAAATGGCAAGATCATTCTGTTTCTGCACTTTTTTTTTTCCTAGCACTAATAGCATGCTTTCGACTAAATCGTTTAATGCAGCATATAAGGTAGGTAAGGCTATGCAGACGTTCAAACAAATGATACCGAACAGAAAGTGTTACCAAAGAAAGGACACATCGATATGTTGAGCCCATAATGAGCACCACACAAAAAAAGCATAACTGTGTTTTAGCCATTACAACCTCCACACATAAGAGAAAAATGCTAAAATGCATTGAATGAGTTCACATGAGACAATGTGAAGTCATCCAAAGCCATGGTGGCACATCATCCTACAACCACTGGTCATCAGAGGGGAAGAGGCAAATGAGGGAAGCGTTACCATCGTTGCACGGTGGATTTTGAGAAAGCTGGCGTCAGCTACTATGGTCAAATGGCAAGTAATTCTGACCAGTCATTGCAGGACCAACCTGAGTGGAAGAACAAAAAGCATGTGTAAACAAAGTGGCCTCCCTTGTTTTCTGAATGCTGCTCTTGCTCAATGAATGTTGAAAGCCTCATTATATTGCCTAGTCATTTACCGAGACAAATAAGGCAGAATGCCATCAGTTAATAGTTTTTGTGCCTCTAAGCAGAGCTGTCAAGGGAATAATATAGACCTTTTTAACAGAGGAGGGTCCCCTCCTTTCTGAACTGTTGCACGGGAGAGTACAAAAGCTGACGGTCCTGCATTTTTGAGGGGTCAGGCATGTTAAAGGAACCCACAACTGGCCAGAACGGGTGATTAGATACCGGTGGAAAGAAAGAGAGCGTGAATTATGGTGACATGTGAGAGCATACGTTTTGCGATCCGAGTAGGATTTATATTTTTAAATCACGTTCAAAAGTAACCAAAACCGGTATGTCGCGCCCCTAGCGCATGAGCTATGAACCACAAATATAAAGTCCTAATATCTTCGCTGTAATTATTTAAAGCTCACCTGAATAAGGGCTTCAATTTCAAATATGTACATCATTCTTCATTTCTGTTTGTTTCTATGTGGCTTGAAAGGTAAAAGAAGTAGAGCATGAAAAGTGGCGCTGCTTTCGTGGCTTCTACAGGGAAACTGGCGCAGCTGCTCATGCGCATGCCGCGCAGCGTTTCCAGAGCAGCTCAATTCCAGTCGCGTTGGGTACATTGGAAGAAGCACGTGAGCTCGTGAATACGATCGCTGCAGCACGCGAGATGCTGTCAGCCTACTGCTCTTTGCAGAATTGCTACCACTTCATGCCTGCTGCTGATGGTGGCACTCCGTCGGATTCTTCGCTACCGCTGTCGTCCGTCGAAGCATGTCGCTCTGGCGCTACTTGATAAGGGTCCTAATTTGTTCTCAAATGCGAGCCGAAATTCCTTCCTCTAACTCGCTCGAGTTGTCAAGCGATGACATCGAAGCCGACTAACTACGGCCGAACGTGAACTTTGATGCATGAATTGTCTATTACGTGTAAACGTGCCCTTTCGTTTTCGAAGACTTGTCTTGGCTCCACTTGGCTTAAATAAAAAAAACTACCTGTGCACGGACAAAAGTACTTGCTTAAGAAGCCCCGGGAATGTGCTGCAACTCTTGTAATATAATTTAGCACACTAGAAAGCAGTCGTCGTGGGACTGCAGGCTTGACAAACACATAATTACGTTTTTGTACTTAAAGCTTCACTTTTCCTCACTGCTGGCATTACACTGGCGTACAATCGCTACCGCGATAACATCCACTGTTTGTAGCATCTCTCCTTAAGACTGCATATTCGCCACAAATCGAAATATCCTGATTATAAATGTTCTACGATGTTTTCCGTGTTACCGTTCCGTGATTACAAGCACCGACAGGTAAGCTTTACGTTTCACTAAAGGAAACGAGTACCATAAAAATTGGTTGTGGGTCCCTTTAATAGCCCAGAGGGGCTTATGGCGGCGCCCAGGGAGGCTTTGTTGACAAGGTGTACAAAAAGGTAACATCGATTGATATCTAGGATTTCAACGTCGTAAAACCACCATATGGTTATGAGAGACGCCGCAATGAAGGGCTCCAGAAATTTCGACCACCTGGGGGTTCTTTAACGTGCACTCAAACGTGAGCATACGGGCCTACAACATTTCTGCCTCCATCGGAAATGCAGCCGCCGCAGCCAGGATTCGATCTCGGCTGCGACCTGTGGGTCAGCAGCCGAGTACCTTAGCCACTAGACCACCGCGGCGGGGCAAACATTTCCACCTATAAACCACCCGACTTCTCAGGTTCATGTACAATCACAAAGATACCCCTGTGACAACCCCTGTGACAACCCCTGTGACAACCCCTGTGACAACCCCTGTGACAATCTCAAGTTATATTTCTTTCAAAACATTATTACCATGAGATATGAAACATTCAACTCGCATACTAGAGCTGTCTAAATTTGTATAAAATATAGCCAGTAAGCTTATACCACCCAGAGAGCTTTAGCAAATAGTAGAGCTGGTGATGAATAACAAATTCAGACCAAATGCCAATACCACAAGTTTTCAGACGCTTGCAACAAAATTGAATACACAGTGTTTTAAGAACAGGGCACTTTAGTTGCAAGTGCGAGAGCCCTTCCAAGCACATGCACCTGGTGAAATATTCATCATAGAAAGTATGCAGAATAATTATTCAATCAACAGTTACTTTCACAGTAAACAGAGCCCCACTTGAACTGATAGCCACACCACCACAACCGAAACTAGACAAGGTAGATAGGGAATTAATTGCTGCCACACTGGTCATATTGATAAGCTTGTCGATTTGAATCAAAACATTGAAACCTATGCTGCGTCTGACAGGGTATACGTAGCTGCTTATAGTGAACTCCTCCACTCGACAGTGTACTTTCCCAAGTGTTTTCGCGGCAAACAACATACATATCTCGGATCTTATCAAAACTCTGCACACTTCATGAAATCACCACAAAAGGATTCAACGCCGCCTAGTTCATTTAGACTCCAAATTGTTTACCTACGATCAAAAAGTGTGCACTTTAACTATACGACAGCACCAATGAATCGAAATTCTAAAGTGACAAGCTGTGAAACTATTACAGCAACGAAATCCTTCATCCATAGAAATTGTACACAATTCAGCGCAAGATGCTCCCTGCATATACCACACGGTACAGCATTGCAGCCCATTCCTAAACGGTAATTTTTAACATGCTGACCCAGTCCATGTTTGCGCACAAAAAAGTCTCACGGTGCTACAGCACAATGCACCCCTCACCTGGTGGTCTCAAAATGCTGTGCCGCATATCTTGCTTTGTCTGAAGCTATCCTCCTGGCCAGCTAATAGCACTTTGTTAAGCTCCTTTTTATCTCTGTGGTTATCATTCTGGCCATCTCGGAGCACTCCATTAAGCTGAGCCTACACTACCTGAACAGCAGATTGAACCTTCAAGAGCCAACTTATTAGGAGCCATGCCATAGCCGCCCATTATCGCGTTAGGACTCTTTGTGGCAGTTTAGACTATTCACTGCATCTTCGCTCCTGAGGACAGATGCATAAAAAAACACCGTACTTACTCGAAAAAAATATTTTTTCCCGGATTACTGCTGCCCAATAATCTGGAAATAAGTAATGCAACGTTATGTTACAATCAAACACTGAAAGAGGCCTATTTTCACCGCATTCCCTTCCCAGACGCAACAGAAAGTGACCCCTGGCATTGCAGTTCTTTGTTAATCAAGTAAATACGGTACGATATAAGCAACAAGGAAAAAGTGGAAGCACATACACATGGCAACTGGCACACACTGCTAGCAAAAAAAAAAGCAGCAGGGTACATTAGACAAAATTTAAAACATTCAGGGCAAAAAAGAATAACAAGATGCACACATTCACATGCACAGAAAAACACATACACAAGCAATTCATGCAACTGGCACAAACACACTGCTAGCAAGAAAAAAAAACAGCAGGGCACATTAAAAAAACTTCACACATTTAACAAGCATGCACACATTCAGATTCTTTCTTACACAGCCCCTCAACACGTTTAGACTTTTTTACCCCCCCCCCCCCAAAAAAAAAAAAGCTGAGCAATTCGCAGACCCTCACGTTTTCCGAATATTACAGCACCGCGCAAAGCCATTTTGAAAAACGATTCCCGCACTTCTTTTTTACACCTGACCAATCCTTCTTTCACGAGCAGCGACACGAAGTCGCCAATCGACGACTTGGAACACAGCTTGTCGATTGGTCTCACAACAACAGGCTACGCCTTCCCTTCACTATGCGGGAGAAAGGTGTCGAGGCCGCGCAAGAATTTGAAACCAGCTGAAACGAATGTTCTAACCCCTGTGCTATTCGTATAATTCTTGTGGCAGCATGTTCACAAAGCAGAAGTTCACATATTTCTCTTTTTAATATTTTTTGGACCTCAGGGTTGTCCACTGGCCCTTCAAAAAATAGGTCAAGAAATACTGTTAGACAGAACTTAATTTTTTTAATACAAATTATTTTTCTGAAGGACGACGGTAAAGGCCCCCTTCTTTTTCGCATACAAACTACGACAAGAATGGGAAATACTTTCCTAGAGCTAAAACGAAACTTGTCACTAATCAACAACACTCATCCCATTATTAATCACTGACTTGAGGGTAGGCATACAAAGAAGTTGCAGTGCATGACAATTCATGGCATACCCATTTTTGTAAAAAAATGTTCAAAAGTTGCATGTAATTCAAGATATTCATTAATCTTGACTAGGATGTGATGAAATTAGAATGACAGCATGCCACAGCTGTACCTCACAAAAAGCCACAAGTCATTTAACTGATGGCGGCAGATCATCCAAGCATAATTCAACCCAGTACACAATGGCGTCACTCGGTTGCATCAGGTTCACGTTGTGGGGTCTCGAAATGGCGCGCGCCCCGCCCTCACTCTTGGAGTGAACGGACACAGTAGACTTGGTCGGGGCAAACAAACACAACATACGTGCATTTATTTAACTAATTTAGACAACGATATCGTCCGCCGAATGATACATAACTCGTTATGTAACACGCTAGGACATCGTTACAATAACATGACAAACACACAACACAACAAACACACTAACACATACCCAAGGCGGCGGCGCTGACGCTTGACTTTACCACTTGGGACCCCTCGCGCGAAGCATGCAGTGCCGAGCCCTGAGGGCCCACGCTACAGACAACCGTTCACGGCAACCGCCACGCGCAGAAGAGACTCGCTCAACTCTCGCCTGCCACCAAAGCCTGCCTTCCGCCAGGGGTCACCGCCAGCGCTACCACTCTACAAACAGTGGCACTCAACGCGAACACAACGCCATCTATCGTCTGGCGGTTGTCACCACCGAAATACGGCTTCTGTGTGAGACGTACGCCACGCGGGGCAAACAACTTTACAGGGGGTGTCAGCACCCTTACATTTAACAACCTTAAACAAACCCTATCCGGAAAACAAAAAGATAAGCTACACAAGCTGTAAAAAAAAACGACATCACATGTCCATAATGTCCTTGCACCACGGCACCGCCGCCGGTTGACACTGCTGCACTGTCCGGCTCGACTTCACCTCAGTACCAGCCCCGGCAACATTGCCGTCGGCGCGACGAACCGTCGCTAATGCCGACACGTCTTCCAGTTGCAACCAGCACTTACGAGGGCGCCAGACTGCAGGCAGTTGCGCAGGTCTCAAGCGTCTCCATCGCCCGACCTCACGACCGTATTTCTGGCCAGCGACGCTGAGGATGTGCAGAAGACAGCCAGCCGTGGATGAATAAAAGAGTGGGTAATTAGTGCCCGCCACAGTGGTCTAGTGGCTAAGGCACTCGGCTGCTGACCCACAGGTCGCGGATGACATCCCTCCCGCTGAATACATCAACAAAAACAACTCGAAATAACAATGGAGCAGGGCCTAGGCAAGAGAGCTTCGGGCTTTTCGGCCACGTAGTACCGATGGTCAGTACTGCTAGCTAATACATCGGCGGCGGCCGAGATGCCCATCAAAATAAAACAAATCACTGTTCCTAACTCGTACATCGCAAGATAAAAAAAAGTGAGGGAAGCATAGCGCAACACCTCAATGCCACGATCTATTGTCCGGCGGTTGTCACCCCCAAAATACGGCTTCTGTGCGAGACACGCGCGCCACGCGGGGGCAAACAACTTTACAGGGGGTGTTAGCAGCCACGCGAGGGCAAACAACTTTACAGGGGGTGTTAGCACCTTCACAACGTCGAACCTTGAGAGCAAGCACAAGTGCGTGTTCACTAGGTGATCTGTAGTCATCAAGCTGATAAAAACAAAGACAGCGTTGTGTCGTCAAATATGTCCTTCCCCTCATCCCAGGATGATTTCATGAGACACATATGGAAGGACGACAAATTCAATGATGTAAAGCACTCCTTGAATCACAACACGAGCGGTGCATGTGGCCAGAAGGCTTGACGTGCTGCGAACTCGCTGCGCGTAAAGCAATGTCAACCAGTGGAATCGTCACTGTTCAGTTTGTGGCATAACACTTCACTTATTACACAAATAGCGGCATCTGTGCCAACAAGAGCAGTTGTGGCGAAACCGTCCACAAACACTGCAATCTCATTAGGAAGCAAAAGATGAGGCCTTGAAAATTTCGTCGGTGGACGAAATAGTTGGTGGCTATAGCAAAGAGTGCGTGTGGTTTTTTGTTTGTTTTTTTCTGCTTGATGTTCGGTCCTCCCATCCTTAGGTATCTGCTATGGTCAGTGGGCCGATGGGCATGCGGCGTTATTTGAGTTTATACTTACCTGGTCAAACACATTTTGCGAGTGTATTCATCTAACGAGTATGTAACTTATACCATGGTTTAGTGTCTGCGCCCCTGGTTGGATTGACAACGCAAAGTGCAGGTGGCATTTGTGGCTTCCATTTCTTGCTAAAATCAGTGCAACGGTGAAAATTTTAAGGCTGGTCGGGCATTTTGGTGCAGCATGGCACAATATCAGCAAATTTCATGGTTTGGCACAGCACGGCACCATAATGGAAAATTGTATCAAATTCGCGCAACTGGCACAGCTGTTGTACCACTGCAAGTATCGACTGGAGCCTCAGAAGCACCCTGCTGCTCTCAAACAAAGGCTCAATTCCTGTGAAACATGAGCAAAGGCTAAATTTTTTTGGCCCCCCGGAAACTTCTCAGGTCATGGCACACAAAGAGGGCTGCCGTCCACTTCCCCTGATCGCCAATGCTGAGCTTGTCTATGCCGAGCTGCCGTTCTACAGCACAGTTGGCAATGGTTTTGGCAGCTGAGCTCAACTTCTTTTAAAAGGCAGCCGAACACTTCTCTCATGGTCCTCACATGGCGTAGAATCGTGCCAGTCGTGACTTACATTAGTGCGAGCTAACATGGCCTGATGATAGCAACGCGCAATGTTGAAACAAACTGAATTCTCAGCTTAAAATTCTGGATCCACATATCGTCCAGGGCCGAAATTTTGCATCAGAAAAACTAGAAAAAAAGAAACAGGACTAACTATGCGAGGGTTTTTACGGTATTCAACCATGGAGCCACGCCAAGTATTTAACCCCCCCCCCCCCCCCCCGCCGAAAAAAAAAAAAATCCATGCAAAACTTATGCTTTGAAGAAAGACCCTTTGCAGGTGTCATGTTGAAATGTCAAATGTGATTGCAGTCCTACCAACCCAGTTTTATAAACACTATATATGTACTCATGTACCATAGGTGTCATGTCAGGGTAACATTGATTGTAGTTAAGCGCCATCCACTGAAGTTGGTCGGAGAAGCAATAGCCAGGGCTATTGTCCTCAAAAGCAAAAGCGATGCATGTCATCTGCATGAAGCGCAAGCGCTTCTGGTGTCGGTGATATACCCGTTCCTGTAGGCATCGTTACGCGACTAAACAACTGGTTGAGACTGTTGTAGATATGAGGAGCTTTTTTTTTTTTTTTTAAGTGGGCCAAATTTAGAACTGAAACTAACACAATTGAGGCTCTATTGGCACATCCTTGCAACTTTCCTCAAAAACAGTATTACAGCCGACTCCTCTTGAATGGAACTCTAAGGGAATCCTTAAAACTGTTCCATTTATGAGAAATTTCATTCAAGCAAAGTACACTTATTTAGTGAACCAAGACCTTTATTCAAATTGCACAAACCTCACCTCACTCATGAAGATGAGTAGGAGAAAAAAAGAGCGAAGAGTCGTTTGTTTGGCAAGCTTGAGCTGTTTTTTTCACAAGGTACGCACCCATGCCTGACAAACTAGCTAGAAATTCTGGAAGTTCAACAGCCTCTTTAACTGATTGGTCTGGTGGCACCATTACACTGGCAGTATTATCATCACATTCATCGCTGGAAGGTTGATCCTCATCTTGCACTTTGGCAATCATTTTCTCCACAGTCTCCTCAGGACAGGTACGAACATTTTCATCAATTGATTGATGGGGCAGAGGGCACGACTTGACTGAATATTGTCTCAATGTCGGCATCAGCAGGGCTTCATCAGGTACTCCTTTCTTGCGCTTGAAAGCCAGCATGGTGAAAACATCTGTGTATTGTTGCCTTCACTTGCTCCCAGGCACAAGCCAAAATGTGG